GGGGAGAGGCCTTGAACTATAATGTTTGCTGCCACAGTCCAGAAAGTAATTCTAGGCAGAAAGCCAGGTGATTGTGGGGTTCACCTCGTCTGTTTCTCTTCTCTCAGGGATCACAGTAAATTTCATGTGTTTCATCCAGTTTTACAGTTTTGTTTGTTTGTTTGTTTGTTTTTATGGCAAGAGGCCTAATCTGGTACTAGTTACTCTATCATGACCCAAAGCAGAAATCCCATTCTTTTGTATGCTTACACTCCCATTTTTTTAAATGTTTATTTTTGAGAGAGAGAGAGACAGAGTATGAACAGGGGAGGGGCAGAGAGAGAGGGAGACAGACAATCTGAAGCAGGCTCCAGGCTCTGAGCTGTCAGCTTAGAGCCCAACGCAGGGCTCAGATCCAAGAATTGCAAGATCATGACCTGAGCCCAAGTCAGACACTTAACCTACTGAGCCACCCAGGAGCCTCTACACTCCCATTTTGACACACTCCCAAAAACGCATATAGTAATATTTTGCATATATTTTTACATGTTTATATAAGTGGCTTATATTCATATTCTATATTTTTCTTTTAAACTCAACATGTTTTTAAAGACCTATCCACATTTGTGTATTCAGTCACTTAAACATTTGAGTGTATTAAGTGCAAGACACTGGGTATGTCATTTGCACAAGATGGAAAAAGTTCCACTTCCGTGGTGCTCAGAGTCTGGGAAGGTGGGAAGATAACACACAGACAGCCAGGTACACATATAATGTCGCCAGTAAGCAGAATAAAGGAAAGTGAAGCAGAGTAAGTGGACACAGTGTGAGTGGGCAAGAGCGACCAGACAAAGCCTCAGTGGAGGTGATATTTGAGTAGAAGCCTAAGTGAAGGTGTGAGCCATGCAGATGTCTAGGGGAAGACAGTTCCCAGAAGAGGGCCTGAGTGTGATGAAAGAAGCATTTGAGAGCTTTAAGGAAGGGCATGAAGTGATCTCATTTATGTTTGAGAAAGTCCTTTCTCGCTGCTGTGCGGAGAATGGATATGGGGAGGAGGTGGGAGGCTGCTGCAGTAATCTAGGCAAGAGATGGCAAGATATGGTGGGGAGAGGTGGTCTTCCTTGGGAAGTTAGCTTACAGGCAGTGCCAACAATTTGCTGTTAGGTAAGTATTGAATGAGGAAGAAGACATTTAAAGAATGATGCCAATGGTATTGGCCTAAGGAATTAGACAAATGGAATGTCATAAACTGAGATGGGGACTTTTGGGTGGCAAATGAATAATTCTGCCTTGAACTTGCTAGGTATAAGATAGCTCTCAGATAACTAAGGGTGATGCCCTTAGTTGAGATGGGGATTGGAGCTGGGGTTTATGTATAATCGGTGTACAGATGGCCTTTAATGCTGTGCCGCTAAACGAGAACCCCTAGGAACTGAGAGTGGAGAAGAGAGGTGATCTTAGGCCTGAGCCCTAGGAATGTCAGTTCTTAAATGTAAGGTCTTCCTCTTAGGGAATCCAGCAGAAGAGACTGGTAAGAACTAATCATTGGGGTGGGAGGAAAACCAGGAGAATATGGAATCCCAGAAGCCAGTGAAACAAGTGTGTGAGTGAAGGAGTGACCTATTGTGTTCAGTGCCACCAAGTGGGTATATGGACGTCATCAGAGACCTAGAGCCACGCGGTCCGTTCGTGTGAAGTGCTGTATAGTATGCCATCGTGTGAATAGAAAAGGCTCCTTCCTCTCTCTCCCACCATTTACATGAACATTTGCAGCGAACGTTCTTGAACATATCACTGATTTGAGCACATGGGGGGGGGGGGTTTCTCTTTGGAGTCTTTCTAGGGATGGAATCACTAGTTTTTAAGGAAGATATGCACCCCTTCAACTTGACAAAACGATGCCAGATTGTTTCCCAGAACAGTGGTACCAGAGTCCATGCCTGTGCTCAGTGTTCAAGGGATGGCCCACATCTTTGCCAACATTTGCTGTTGCAGACTTTAGAATTCTTGCCACTCACATTTTCCTGAGTACTAGTGAGGTGGTGGGTCTCTGCCACTTGGGTTTCCTTTCATGTGACCTGCCTGTTAATATCAGGCAGTTTTCAATGGAGTTGTCTTTTTTTTTTTTTTTTAAAGTTGTATGATTTCTTTATATATATTCTGGACACTAAACCTCCATTAAATACATTGCAAATAATGTGTGTGTCACACCCAGTCTGTGGTATGTCTTAACTTGGTAGGGTTGTGGGTATGTGTGTGTATGTGATATAAAAGCTTTTTGCTTTTCTTGTCGATGATGTTTTTAGAGCACCAGCAGGGAAGAGGGGCAGAGGGAGAGAGAGAATCCCAAGCAGGCTTCACACACAGCATGGAGCCTGACACAGGGCTTGATCCCACACCCTGGGATCATGAACTGAGCTGCAAGCAAGAGCTGGACACTCAACTGACTGAGACACCCATGCACCCCAAAATAGATTTGAGTTTTGATGAATCAAATCTATGTGTTTGCTTTGTTTTGTGTCTTATTTAATCAACCTTTCCCTATTTGAAGGTCATAAAAACACTTGCCAATATTTTTTTTTCTAAGACTTTAAAGTTTTTTTTTTTTCTTAATTATAAATGTTACGGTTAATGCATTGGAGATTCTGTGTAGGGTGTGAGTTAGGGATCTTTTATGTTTGCTTCCTCTTGTGAAGGCCACGTCTTCTGACCTCTCCAGCCTCTTCCCACTGATCTGCATTGCCACCACCATCATACACATTTCCTACAGGGGAATAGGTCTGGTTGGGCTTTTTTTCCCTAATCCACTGATCATATTGCCCATTCTTGGACTCATGCCTAGAAGTTTTCATTATTGAACTTCATAAGAAACCTGCTATCTGGCAGGGCAAGCTGGGCAAAGGGAGGAGGATTATTTGTTTTTTGCTCTGAAGTCATTTGTCTTTAAACAGCTGTCCATAGTGTACTTAAAACAGCACTGGCCGAACTTGGGAAAAAGCTATTTGCCACTCACATATCAAGAACTAATCTGTGGCATAAAGAGGGGGGCCTCACTTTTCCGTGAAACTCTGGGTACTTTTACTTTTGACTTTCCACACCCTTGCCCCGCCAACTCTCACCTCCGGTTTTTCAGGTTGTGATGTCTCTGAACCATGGGGCCACTCTTCCGGTATTTACACGTGGTGGGTATTTTGTGACTGAGCTGTGGTACCAATTTCATTGGTTATTGCCAACCAGACCATAGTGACAGGCCTGACGGGTTCTGGGGTTTCCTGTTGCCTCATCGGCACTGAGACCCCGGATTCCAAAAATAAAAGCACAAGAAACCACCGTGACCTCACGGTCTCTGCTTGCACGGTCCTCTGAACGCCAGGGCTGTTTCCCACCCCCACCCCCCCACGGCCTGGCCCGGCCTGGACCCTGCTCCCTGCCAGAGCAATGTGGGGTCTGAGTGGCCTGGACAGGCTCTGAGGGCCGTCCCCCCCACCTGAACTTGCTCGCTGTCCCCCCTCTTCAGGCTGGCTCCCGCAGGGCCAAAGTGGCTCCGGCAGAGAGGATGAGCAAGTTCTTGAAGCATTTCACTGTCGTTGGGGACGATTACCATGCCTGGAACATCAACTACAAGAAATGGGAGAATGAGGAGGATGAGGAGGACGAGGAGGAACAGCCGCCACCAACACCTGCCTCCGGTGAGGAGGGCAGAGCTGCCGACCCGGCTGCGGCCCCTGTCCCTGCGCCCAGGCCCCCCCTAGACTTCAGGACCACATTGAGGAAGCTGTTCAGCTCCCACAGGTTTCAGGTAGGTGGGCAGAGGCCCAAGATGCCCAGGGTGGGGCAGAGCTGTCAGCCAAGAGTCACGAGGCCAAGGTGGGAGCCCGTCTCTGCCACTGTATGCCTACTGAATGCTAACCGTGTGTCAGGTGCCCCGTCCAGCACTGGGCAGATCCCGTGTTGTCAGGGATAAAATAAGTCACAATCCAAAGTCAGTTAAAGGTCTAGCACCTGATGAGTGAATAAACAAAATGTAGTCTGTCCATGCTCGGCCAGGAGGAGGAAGGAGGCACGGACACCTGCTACAAAGTGGAGGAGGCTTGACAACATGGTACTCCATGAAAGGAGCCAGACACAAAGACCACAGAGCGTATGATTCCATTTATATGAAATGTTCAAAATCGGCAAATCCGTAGAGACAGACAGCAGATTGGTGGTAACAAGTTGGAGGGAGGGTAGAATGGCAATGGGCTGCTTACCGGATACGGGTTTCCATTTGGAGTGATGAAAACGTTCCAGAACTACATAGTGGTGATGATTGTACCACCCTGTGAACGTGCTAAATGCCCCTGAACTATAAGCCAACTTAAAAATGATTCAAATGTTTTATGGTAGATTTTAGGTTATGCAGATTTTATGATACACAAAAAGTAAACTGAAGGGTAAACACTGGAGCCAGAAAAAGATGTTCCTGCGTTCATTCGGCAAACACTGAGTGCGTGCCCTGAGTTGAACAAAGCCAAGATGGGTCCCGTGTCCCAGACACATCACCCTGGGGGCTTCAGTCTCTAATGCTGTAGAGCGATCTGCATAGTGTAGCCCACGGCTGACCTCGGGGTGCAGTTAGGGGAGAACATGAGAGGGAGATGTGGAGTTGAGAGAATAGCGAAGCGTCTGTTGGCATCTTCTGACTTCGAAAGACAAGCGCAGGTCGAGTCTGGTCTGGCTGGCCCCGCAGTGTCTGGAAACGTGTTCTGAGAGCCCCAGGAGAATTCGGGAGGCCCAGGGATACTAAGGAAGCATGCAGCCCCCAAGGTCCTGTAATGGAGCCATTTTGGGGACCCTGTTGCTGGCGTCCTCCTAAAGCAAAATAAACCAGCGCCTCCCAAAGCTGACTTCCCTTCTGGAAGCAGAAACAGCCCTTGCCTCTCCCATCACTGACTTTGTTCCAGGGTAAAATAGAAAAAAAAAAAAAAAATTTTTTTTAATTTTGGTCTTTTTCTCATTCTTGCGTAGCTTAGAGAAATGAAGCAGGCCAAACAGCCCAACAAGCCTTGCAGCTCAGCACTTTCCTCTGCGGCTGTGACAGGAAAGTAAACGTGGTATTAAGTTGTTGGGGTTGAAATCCCAAACCCTCAATTTCAGGAGCAGAAGGAAGGCATCAGTTTCCCTCCAGCTGCAAGGGAAACCCTGGACCTCCCAGCTCTGGGAGGTCCTCCCGAGGGGGCACAGGGCTGGCCCCCTGCGCCAGGACCCCTAAGGACACTCCTACTGGATAAGCCTGACTGTGGAAACAGAAGTAGAGATGCTTAGTCATTCACTTGACAGTCACTTCTCAAGCACACACTGCGTGCCAGGGGTACAGCAGCAGGCATGGCAGATGTGTCCCTGTCCTTATTCTTGAAGGACCCACAGTCTGTGGAGAGGCAGGCACTCCAGGAACCATCACCCAGACTGATGCTGGTTATGAGTGAAGGGAAGCCCTCTGTAAGAAAACAGAAGGGGGCTCCCGGCGATCCTGGGGGCAGGGAGCCACATGACCCAGGATTGGGTGTCATAAGACATGTAGTGGAGGAGGTGACATTTCACCTGACACCTGAAGCTTAGGCAGGGCTGAGCTCTGTGAATGGGGAGGGGAGGAGCTTTCCAGGCAGAGGGACTGTGTTTGCAAAGGGCCGAAATAGGAAAGGACCTGTCATATTCCGGGAATTGGGAAGGGTCCACATCGGCTTCCGTGTAGCAAGTAAAGGGATAACTTGGCAAGAGAGGAGGTGCTGGAAGGTCACCTGTGGGCAGTGGGCAGCCATGGAAAGTCTAAATGCGTGGGTGGGAGGGAGTGACACAACTGGATTTGTAGAGAGGCTCAGGGAGACCACCGCGGAGTGGGGATACCAGTGCAGGGGTTTGATCTCTGCCGGTAGAATCAGCATGCAAAAGGATTCTGGAATCCCTTTCTTGGATGCGTTCTCTACCTGTTCCCGTGGTTTGAGGCAGCCTAGGTGACCAGGTATATAGTTAATTGCCATCACTTCTCACACAGGATGGTACAAGCAAGGGAAAGAATATAGGGCGTGTTGGGCCTCTGTGGAATCCATGGGTGGACAGGGTGGCTGAGCTGGGGAGGACAATTGTGAAGGTCAAGGAGCTTCACTTTATTCCCTGCTCACTACAGCCGGGCCCTGTGCCTTATAAGCACCCTTCACACATTACCTCATGTAATGCTCCCTGTGTCATTCTAGGGTGTAAAATGTGGTCAACCGCATTTTCTCCAAGAGTACGCTGAAGCTTGGAGTTAACACTTGAGAGACGTGCCCAAGGTCTAGGCCAACGCAGGAGCCGGCCCGGTGCTGGCGGCCCCATAGCCTTCGCTCTCACCATGGCCGTCTTTGCCCCATCTGGGTTTGGAATTAACCGGCTTCCCTGAATTCTCAGCTTTTCTCTTTGTGACATGACTCCCCTCAGAAATAGCACTGCCTTGTGAAATGGCAGTTTCAGGGTCTGGGGATTTTTTCACAGCGGTCAGGATTGGAGCCCAGACATTGTAGTTTTATGACCTTCGGTCTGTCTCACCTTTTTTAATTGAAGAGAAATTCACATAATCATTTTATTACAATTATTTATTTTAAGAGAGAGCGAGAGAGTGCACATGGGATAGGGACAAAGAGAGGGAGAGAGAGACTTCCGAGCAGGCTCCACACTGGCACACTGTAGAGCCCGATGTGAGGCTCGAACTTACAAACCGTGAGATCGTGACCCGAGGCAAAATCAGGAGTCATTCACTTACCTGACTTGACTGAACCAGCCAGGTGCCCCTAAAGTTAATCATTTTAAAGTGAACAATTCAGTGGCATTTTGTACATTCACAGTGTTGTGCCACCCCCACCACGGTCTAGTTCCAGAATGTTTTCATCACCCCAAAAGGAGATCCAGTACCCATTAAACAATAACCCTCGGGCCCCCGGGGACCACTAATCTGCTTTCTGTCTGTACGGATTTGCCCATTCGGGACTTCATAGGAAAGGAATCAGACAACGCGTGGTCTGGACGCCCGGCTTCTTCCTCCGCGTCGCGTCTGCCCCATCACTCATGCTGTAGTGTGCCAGTGCCGCTTCCGTTTTACAGCTGAATATTCAGTCTGCTTTTAATGTCTCTGTGCCTTGGTTTTAGACCAGACAAAGCTCTCACATCCCTTCAGCTCTAAAATAAAACCAAGGATGAAGAAAGAAAGAAAAGGAAAAACAACCTGCCAGAGGCTGGAATCTTTGAGCTACTGAATTTGAATATGTGTGAAAACTTCATTACAGAGCAATTTGGCATGCAATTTTCACAGTAAACCATGTCACTGAACACTGTAATTACTGAAATAATTAGCTACGGGCTGAAATGGTCAAAGGGTTTACTAGTCCATCCTCACACAGGCCTGTTGGGTTCCAGCCCTAAACTGCAGGCACTGCCAAGAAAATGGCAGATGAACTTGTGGAATCTACCCCGGAGTGTTGGATGTAGGAAGGGCCCTGAGGGAGGCGAGGGAGGGTCCACAGTTCCCGAGGGAAGAGAGGGGTTACACGGCGTCCTTTGGGTCTCCTCCCATCGCTGCCATTTCCACCGCCGGACACCGTCACCCCCACCCTGCCATTACAGAGGCCTCACCAGCATTGTCACTGTCACCATGCCCCCCCCACCCCCGTTGGTGAGAGCACGCCCTCACTGCACCCCACTCTCACGGAGCCCACAAGATGGTCCTCCTCCCACCACTCTCTTCAGTCCCCAGCAGACCCAGGACTCCCTCTGCCCTTGGCCCCCTAACAAGCATGCGTGAGCTGGGCAAATATTCGCGGCTCTGGATGGAAGCGATTTCGTGTGTCCCGTGGACATCACTGTAATCCGGCTGCCTGAAGCAGGCAGTCCCTGGAGGCCTTCCATGACTCAGATCTGTGAGACAGATCTTTTTAATTATTTACCGAACATCTGTTCTGGGCGTACCCTGGCAAGAAGATCTCCAGAAACAGAAAAATTAAAACTTAAAAAACATTTTCTTGCCATCTAGGAATCGGCAGTTTGGCTTGAGAGATGCTGAGACACAGTGAATGAATACGAAGACTGGTGGTGACAGAGTGTCACTCAACCACACACAGAAGCTCCAGGGGGACAGACACTTCCCAGCGGGTGGGG